TTTCTGTAGAAATAAAAAAAATTATTTTATTTCTACAGAATTAAAATTTTGTAATTCTACAAAATTATTCTATTTCTACAGGCATGCACATGTAGTCCCAACTACTCAGGAGGCTGAGGTGGGAGGATCGCTTAAGCCTAGGAAGTGGAGGCTGCAGTGAATCGTGATTGCATCACTTCATTCCAGCCTGGGAAACAGAGTGAGGACCTGTCTCAAAAAAAAAAAAAAAAAAAAAAGAAAAACAAAACAAAAAAAAAAGAAAGAAAATGAAATTGTTTAACCTAGCTTTGAGTAACTCGAATGAATGAAAAACTGAATTTAAAACAATCACGTAATAAATCACACAGTCCCTCCAAGGGAAGTCAAAGCGGGTGGAACTGATCATTTGTGGGGTGTTTGCCTCACGTATTTCGGTTTTCAAATTTTGACCCTACACATTTGTTACATATTTACAAACTGAAAAACAACAAATAGAAAGTTATTTATAGCAGAGGACCCTGGAATTAAAGAGAGATTTTTTTCAAGACTGGAAGTGTACATCACATACCACAAGGACCTCTACTTTGTGTGGAAACTTGAAAATAAAAAAGTCACAGGGAACGCAACACCAGCTTTGTCCCACATCTTTCAGATGCTCAACTAACTGCAGTGATTGCTCTCAAATTCACCCATTCTCTCTGGGTAAGATTCAATTAGGTAACAATTAGGAGAAAAAAAAAGAAGCTTCAATCCCTCCCATTGCACACCCAACTTTCACAGAATCCCCTCTTTGAAACAAGACACTCATGTCCATGTTCCCAGCGTGAAGATCAGCCCAGAGCCGGGCCGGCCCCGCAGCAGCAAAGCCGTGACACCCATCACCAGGAGAACAGAAGCAACGTCTAGGTCAGAGATTAGTGACTGCCAAAAATAAGGTGAAAGTTGCCCCCAAAGCCAGTGAACACGGGAAAACCTGGGCAGATTTCCTTCGCAAAGAAAGTGAAGAGAGTTTAAGACGCTCAGAAAAGCAAGAAACGAGTGCTAAACGTTACTTACTACAGGTGCTGTATGTTAAATGCTTTTTTTTATTTACCAGTGCTAGAAATAAGTTTCATGCCAACAGTTTACAAAAAAAAAAAAAAAAGGCAAAGAAAAACTGAAAAATATTCTTGAGAACTAAGTCGGACAAGAAAAATTAAAACTTGAGAATTAGTGAAAAATTTTAGACATTAAAATTAAAAAAAAAAAAATGAAATGCTTCCTGCATTAGGTACGGATCTTCAGACTCCCACGTGAATAGCTGGGAATGGTGGCACGTGCCTGTGATCCCAGGTACTCAGGAGGCTGAGGTGGGAGGATCACCTGAGTCCAGGAGGTTGAAGCTGCAGTGAGCCGAGATCACAACACTGCACTCAAGCCTGGGTGACAGAGTAAGACCTTGTCTCACAAAGAAACAAAACAAAACAAAACGAAACAAAAAAACCAGAAGAATATATTTCTATGTTTTATTACTGTCTCTTGGCAAAATACTCAACTAGCCCCAATATTGCCTTAGATGTAATTTAACATCCCCGGTTTACACAGGGGAAAATGAGGTCAACAGCCAAGACCGAAGAAATAACAAATGCAATGGTGCGTTCAGGACAATGACTACAATTATAAAATATTCAGTTCAATTTCTACCCTCAGCATCAAGGCAGGGGTTCATCATAATGGGTATTGGAGGTTTAAAGAAAATTTAGGCTCAGCATTTACAAAAAAAAAAGCAGATTTTAATGCTGGTGCAATCACAGGAGACTGCGGCCCAGCCCTCCTCAGCACTGCAGGTACTCACGGGCACTCCCGGGGTATTGGCCATGCTACGTCCCCGCTGGTGGCCACACAGAAGAAGAGGCGGTAAAATTTTTTGAGAATGAGATAAAAAATGCTCAGAGTCTAAAAACATTTTCTAGCGGAGGAGGAATAACGAGAAGCTCTCATTCATGGTATTTGTAAAAGGCTGTTTCTAGCGCACTGGTAGATAAAAAGGGCCGGGGCCCTCGGGTTGGCGTCAGCCGGCGCCCGTCTGTTGAGGCACACACGGACTTACGTCGGTGATAGCGTTCAGGGCTGTGTCTGCCCCGATGCTGAAATCGGAACCTGGCACATTGTTGGACACAGTAGCGGGAACCATGATCGTGGGCACACAGAACTACTCGTATTTCTCCCGGGTGGCTGACAGTTCCAGGAGTCCCATCTAAATTGACCCAGTATCTGCAATGCTGGCTGCTCAGAGGCCGTGGTGTGGAAGGGCCAGGTCATCGCTTAGTCATACGGGGCACAAGCATGTCACTTGCCACTCCTGTCTTTCTATTTCATCAAACTCTATTTTCTCCTGAATATTGATCATAGCAAAGTCATTAGCCTTCGAAACATCAACTTGCTTTGTTCAAGAAGTTGAAACACACGTAAGTCTTTCTCGCCATGCTCAACACACACGACTGGCCATTTCCAAAGTCAGTGTTTCTGGAACAAAAGCCTTGACCTGCCCCGTGAACGTTCACGCTGAGCACACTGTCGCGAGGCTGCTTGGCCAGCCAACAGGGGCAGGAGAGAACCGCAGGTGCGGTGTGGGGGGCCCTGCAAAGGCGCCTCACTCCCTCAATCAAGGGCGGTGCCTCCTGCCAAGCCAGTGGCTTCCTCCAAGGGGAAGCGGCGTTTTCAGCTGCCACCGCACCGACTTCAGATGGCTCAGCCAATGGGGCAACAGATTCAACAGAGTTCCATGTTGTTAAAGGAAAACTTCTGTTACCAGACAACCTTAATATCAGATTCAACGTAAAATAACCAACAAGGTTGTTTCCAAGCCAACATGCTAGTAGTGCCTTATCCTTCAATGCTGCTTAAACACGGAGAAGTATGAGGAAAAAAGAGCATGGCACTTACTTCTTAAAAAATAACACCTCTTCCAGGTTCATCTTACCCATATCAGAAAGACTTAGAACTGTGGATTTCCTACAGGAACGTGGAGTGGGGGTGGATCCCCACGCTGACCCAGCCTCCCCACAGGTCAGTCAACCCCCATCACGGGGTTCACACCTCTCCAGGCCCCGTCATCTCAACAAGAAAACGTGGCATCTCTGAGCTCTCTTCGCAGGGAGCACCCGAACGGGAGCTAGAGAGAAACACAGACACATCCACCACTGCTTTAAAATCCTGAAATGCAATACATATTTAAGGACTTCATTAGTAGCTTTTTAAAACAGTAAGAACAGAGTGAGCCTGGTTTTAACCTCTCTGCCACAATAACACCGTGTACATCTGTCTTTTACTGTGTGTTCCTTCTCCAGCAGCTGCTGCCTGGCTGGCCGATTGCAGAAGGGCCTCGGGTACTCCGGGGGGAGGCCCTCGGTAAAAGCGTGAGCGCCACGATCACGTCTCAGGACGCCGCACACGTTAGGGTTGCCCACAGCCCGCCGTTCCCAATGCCTAGAGGGCACTGAATGGACCTCCTGCTCTTTGTAAATGTCAACTCTCCTAAGCTACATTGCCTTAAAAATTTTTAACTGTAGTCCACACACACTTCTTTGTTTCTGTCTTGTTTTTATCCTAGAGGCATATTATTATGGAAAATTAAGTTTGTAAGGTTGAAGGGTTTTCTGAAAGTCTCCTTCTAATCCTGGAAGGAAAAAAAATTGGGCCAGATGTGGTGCTCACACCTGTCATCCCAGCAGTTTGGGAGGCTGAGGCGGGCAGATCGCTTCAGTCCAGGAGCTCAAGACCAGCCTGGAAAACATGGCAAAACGCTGTCTCTACTAAAAATACAAAAAATACAAGAAAAAAAAAAATTAGCTGGGCGTGGTGACATGTGTCTATTCCCAGCTACTCAGGAAGCTGAGGTGGGAGGATACCTGAGCTCAGGAGGGGAAGGCTGCAGTCAGCCAAGATTTGCGTCACTGCACTCCAGCTTGGGCGACAGAGTGAGACCCTGTCTCAAAAAAACGAAAAGTAAAAACAACTGTATAAATCAGTACAGAAGGGAATTGGCTGGGCACGATGGCGCACGCCTGTAATCCCAGCACTTCGGGAGGTTGGGGTGGGCAGATCACCTGAGGTCAGGAGTTTGAGACCAGCTTGGCCAATATGGCAAAACCCCATCTCTAATAAAAGTATAAAAATTAGCCGGGCATGGTGGTGGGTGCCTGTAATCCTAGCTACTCAGGAGGCTGAGACAGGGGAATCACTTCAACCCGGGAAGTAGAAGTTGCAGTGGGCCAAGATTGTGCCACTGCACTCCAGCCTGGGCAACAAGAGCAAGAGTTTACTTGAAAAAAAATTTAAATTTAAATTTTAAAAAAAGGAGCTAATTTTTATTTAAGGGAAGGAAGAAGGACATTCAGTACTTGTACATCTCACGCACACATCTGCAGTGGTGCCCTGAAATATTCAAGATACACATTCCTACAAATAGAGCTTAAAACTACTCACCAAGTTACATGCTGAAAGCACATGCATTGTAAGAATGCTGCATTCGATTTTTTAAGCATCTGTATGCAATATTTTAGCATACTGGCAGTTTTCTCTTCAGGGGCTGTATGCCAAAATTATTCCATGTTTAGTCATTCATTTTAGAATTTATGACTTGCTTTAGACAAAAAAAATGTATTTAAACATAAGATACTAAATTAATGACTTAGGGGAAAAATTACTACATTAACTTGGAAGTTAAACTTTGCAAACTGAATTTGTTGGACCTCATGTAAGCTAGATGATCAGTGTTTTAAATTGTTGTGTGTTTCCCTCGAGGATGGAAGTCTCCTCTTTTCTCTCATCCACTGTGTACGCCGCTGCAGCCCACGCCTGTCCTCCACCAACCACAGTGCAGCCTGCAATTCACTCTGTACCACGCCTTCCACACCTTACCTGAAAGTCACTAAGTATAACCAAGAAGGAAATGAAAAGCAGATAAATGACCTCCGCCCCCACATCCAGCATGCAAATGTGAAACATTCATCAAAGTAAAACCAAAAACCCATGTCAGCTCATGATTGTAACTGGTAGAATTATGTGCATGGCAATTTAAAAAGTCTAGTTAAGCAAAAACCTAATTGAAAGTCTCAAGAAATACAAACTTTATACAAAAAGACATCGGCAAACATTGACAGTGAGGAGAGGACTTCGCTCTGCATCCAGTCTGTCCTGGAAGCCACGGCCAAATGCCAGACTGTATAGTTCTGGAAGCCACGGCCAAATGCGGACTGTATAGATCCGAAAAGCAGAAAAACAAGTATTGAAATGTGTACAGTCTCAGCAATGTACAATTTGATTTAGGATGCTCAGAAACCTTAAATTTAATCAGAAAACAGGAACATGAGCAAGTTCCCCAGCAGTGCCCACCTTCTGCTTACATGGCTGCAACAGAACGCTGCCACCTCCGGGAGAGGCTTCTGGTCACACTGCCTGGGGAGCCGCGCATAACTGGCCCCGACACAAACAATCAAGACACAAGAACCACCCACTCCTGGCTTCGTCTCACTCTGCGGGAGAGCGGTTTACAGAATACATTATCGACTGAGTCCTCGTGCAACAAGGTCAAACTTGTTGAAGGCAGGCAACCCCATTCCTGCCCAATTAAGTGAACTGAGCAGAGCAAGGTTCACAATTAAGTGAACTGAGCAGAGCAAATGCCCCGAGTTGGACAGCACTCAGTCACGACAGCAGCGGCCAGTGTTCGCAGGGCGCTGGTTTCGTGCCGGGAACAGTTCCAAGCGTCTTCTTTCTGTCCGTGGAATGTGCACTGCAACCCTGTGGGGCCGTTTGCAACACCCACCAGAGTTCTGAGACAACCAAGTCCAAGCTGTCTGTAGGCCTTGCCGCGTGGCCGTCCACGTCCTCTGCAAACCAGACCTCACTGCAGGGACCGCGGGTTCCACGGCTGCCTTGAGGCACATGCTCCCTCCGCCACGTCTTCCTGGTCCCTGGCACCAACCCTCACGACCACTGCTGCCCCGCATCAACGCCAACGCTCATGTAATCACCACCCCTTCCATGGGGCTTGATGCCTAGGAGTCTCTATATCAGAATGTCACATTGCTGTGCTTGTTGGAGAATTTCTTCCCAGCGTGGAAGTGAAGGATATAAAATTCTAGGTGCCTGCAATTACCTCATTTCCACTGCTAAGCAATTTCAGTAGTAGCACAAAACAAAAAAGCTTTTTTTTAAACTTTTTTGCAAGCTAAATACAATTTAATTTCTACATTCACGTTCTCATCAGCTCCCACCTGATGAGCAGGCAAACAGTAATTTTCAAAGAAACAAATTGTTCCATAATTTTAACACTTAGCATTATCACTATGAAGTAAGAATTATCCCAAAAATACATGATGATCTTGTTCTCACATTCAACAATAGATTGTCACACAGTGAAATAGCACTTAATGCAAAGGACTGTTTCTTTTCAGGTTTCTGATCTAGAAAAAAAAAAAGATTTCTGGCAAAGAGATAAACCTTAATTATGTAGCTATCCAAAATGCCTCTGAGAAAAATAATATCATCCAATTAGTACTTTAAAGTGTTACAAATGCAGCTGAGGTTTTTTAGTAATTTGTCCATAATTATCAAAAGAATCTTTAAAAATCTTAATACTGAAAGAATAACCATAAGTGGATATAAAACGTAAAGCAGAAGAGTTAACATTTGGGGTAGATTTTGGCCCATATGTTTAACATATGCATAGTTATTTACCTAGCTGAAGTATATCCGTCTTCTGCTAGGCTCTTCAAGTCTGATTTTCAAACATAGACTGGCTTTTGGTACATGAAGGCAGCTTTCAAAGATGTCAGGATCAGGCCGGGCGCAGTGGCTCAAGCCTGTAATCCCGGCCTTTTCGGAGGCCAAGGTGGGCCAATCACTTGAGGTAAGAAGTTCGAGACCAGCCTGGCCAATATGGCAAAACCCTGCCTGTTTTAAACATTTTTGTAATGAGCCGAGCGTGGTGGCACACACCTATAATCCCAGCTACTCAGGAGGCTAAGGCAGGGAGAATTGCTTGAACCCAGGAGGCGGAGGTTGCAGTGAGCCAAAATCGCACCACTGCACTCTAGCCTGGGCGACAAAGCGAGAGTGTCTCAAAAAATAACTTAACCCTCAGAAAAAGCTGTGAGCGTCCCCGGTCCCAACCAACCCAAGGAATCACATGGCAATGGTTATCGTTTGATTTCGACACAATAAAGTTCTATTCTCCTCTCTAAACACAATGGTAAACACCTGCCATCAGCCCACAGAAACTCCCAGGACCCAGTAACACCGGACTAGCAAGACTAATGGGCCACGTACACAGGGTTCAGCTGCAGAAAGTGATGGCCCCAAGAAGGTGTGGGCGTTCAAACCAGATTCCTTGCTTTCAGGGTGGAGGGGCTTTCCGGGAAGATCTAGTCCAGCGGGATGGTTTCCACTTCCACCATGAGGAGGAAACGGGGGGTTTCCTGAGGGCACTGACAGGACTTGGGTCTCTGCCTCTTGGTTTTCTGTCCTGTTACGGGATGAGGATGGGCTGAAGGCAGGTTCTCCCTACATCTTCCGGGCAGGAGAGATGGAGTTGACAAGTGGACGACGGCTTTTCCAAAACCTTTCCATGTTTATAACCCGTTATCGATCTGCTTACCCTGGAGATCAAGGAGGGGGAAGGAGGGGTGCAGGAGGGAGGGGAAAGGGGAGGGGAGCAGGAGGGAGGAACAGGGGGGCAGGAGGGAGAGAGAGAAGGAGGGGAGCAGGAGGAGGAAAGGAGGGTGGAGGAGAAAGGAGGGTGAAGGAGGGGAGGGAAAGGAGGGGTGAGGAGGGTGAAGGAGGAGGAGGGAGGGAGGGAAAAGGAGGTGAAGGAGAGAGAGAAAGGGGGGAGGGAAAGGAAGGGAGGAAAGGGGAAAGGAGGGGAGGAAGGAGGGAGGGAAGACTAAGGAGGGAGGAAGAGAGGAGAGGAAGGAGGAGGAAAAAGAAGAAGGGGAAGGAGGGGGAGAGAAAGAGGGGGGAAAGAGGAAAGAAGGAGGAAGAGGGAAAGGGGAGGAAAGAGGGGAGGGGAAAGAGGAAGGGGAAGGAGGGGAAGGAGGGAAGGAGGAAGAAGGAGAGGAAGGAGGAGGAGGGGAAGGGGGAAGGAGGGAGGAAGGAGGAGGCAGGGAAAGGGGAAAAGGGGAAAGGAGGGAAGGAGGAAAGAAAGGAAAGAAGGAAAGAAGGAAAGGAAAGGGAAAAAGAAAGGAAAGAAGAAGAAGGGGAAAGAAGGGGAAAGAGGAGGAAAGAAGGAAGGAGGAAAAGGAAAGAGGGGGAAGGAGGGGAAAGAGGAAAGAAGGGGAAAGGAGGGGAAGGAGGGAGGGGAAAGGAGGGAAAGGAGGAGGGAAGGAGGGGAAAGAAGGGGGGAAGGAGGGAGGAGAAGAAGGGGAAGAAGGGAGGAAGGAGGAGGGGAAGAAGGAGGGGGAAGGAGGAAGGAGGGAAGGAGGAAGGAGGGGAAGGAGGAAGGAGGAAGAGGGAGGAAGGGGAAGGAGGGGAAGGAGGGGAAGGAGGGAGAGGAAGGAGGGAAGGAGAGGCTACAGGAAGGGTGGCTGGGAAGAATGACTGGGAAGGAGGGCTGGGGAGGGGAGGGGCTGTGGAGGAGGGCTGTGGAGGAGGGCTGTGGAGAGGGAGGGCTGTGGAGAGGAGGAGTGTGGAGGGAATGTGGAGGAGAGCAGAAGGGTGGGAGGAGTGTGGAGGGGGAATGTGGAGGGGAGAGCAGAAGGGGTGTTCTCTGAGGAGGAAGAACAAGTTTCTGAGGTGTCTTGGAGACAGAGGTGGCAGTGGCTTGGGCTCAAGGCCCTCTGTTGCATAGTTTTAGGCTTTTTATATTTGTGAACTCTTTAAAAGATTTCATTTGAAAAAAACTGGAGTTGGGGATACTTTGCTTCTAAAACACAATTCCTCAAGCCCAAGACTAAGTGCTAGGCATTGCTCATTCTATTACCGTCATTTCCTCATATTTAAAATCAGCCGCACACCCCCAATCTCCTTCAGTGTAAACACCACCTTTTCCGAGGATCTCAAAGAGCAGAGCGAGCAGCCTGTAACCCCAGCCGTGTGCACGAGGAGCGAAGAGCAAACGTGCTGTGAGGGCTGCGAATGACAGGAGAGGCCGAGGCTGAGCACCTGTCTGCACGGGCTGTGCTCCTCCAGGCCTAAAGGACACCCTCGCCTCTGGGGTGAACAAGCAGCACAAGCTGTCAACACTTCTTCCAAAAGAACATGAAGAAAATTCAAACGAAGTTAACACAGTTATCCCAACACAACCCTGCAACAGCCCAGAAACAGGAGGACCAGTGAGCCTGAGACGGGAAGTTCCCACAGCGGGACAGCAACGTTGGCATTAGGACTTTTTGGCAAAAAAAGACAAAAAAGGTAACATGGGCCACCAGTTATTTCCTGCCAGTGGAAAGACACCCACACACCCCTAGATGCCAACGGCGCCCTGGAAATGAGCCCACGCAGCATCTCGTGTCTTCGAATGAGCAGACACATGGTGTCCTCAGCACCCCCGCCCGTGACACACACACACCACACTTGACTCCCAACACCTGAGGGTCCAGGGGAATGGCCGGAAGTCCCCGGAGGACAGGGCATCCTGTGAGGTCAGTGCAGGGCTACGCACCTCAGAGGGGCCCCCGGGCAGGCGCTCTCTCCCCAAAGGATGAACCAGTCCTGACCACACCCAGATCGCGGTGGCCTCCAAGCCGAGCGCCAACATCTCACGTCCAAAGAAATGAGCAGGTGCCTGCTGTGTGTGGAGCCCAAGCCCCTCGCAGAGCCCAGGACGAACCCACTGTCCAGGCCTGGGGCCGTCACCAGCCAAGAGAGGCGTCCGAGGCACTTCCCAGCAATGGTCACAGGAAGTAACAACTCAGGCCCATCAGGAGTTTCCTCACTATGCAGGTTTTAGAAGTAGAGACAGAGGTTCAGGTATAGTGGCACAAACATCGACGGACCCCATGGAAATGCGGGCGTGGTCCCTCCATCCCACCAGCCTGCATGGCTACTCCATTCTGCTCCCATCACACACATCCCCACACAGCCACGTCCCTTCTCCTTTTCCCCCACTGGGTTCATCAAATCAAACCTCGCTGTCCTTGGCAAATATACCATTAATTTACTTGCTGCCCAGAACAAAAGCACACTTGCAGTTAACATGACACCCCCGCTACAATAGAACAGCCTTAATTCA